CTAGACAAAGTTCGTCGAGACAAATTTTAAGTTGACTTGTGAAAGTTTGGAACAGAAAGTTTTAAGTTAAAGTTAGTTTATAGTTTAAATTAGTTTAAAGTTTAAAGTAGTTTATAGTGTAAATTAGTTTATAGTTTAAAATAGTCTAAATTTTAAATTAGTTTGAATTTTAAAGTAGTTTAAAGTTAAATTAGTTTAAATTAGTCTAAAGTTTAAATTAGTTTGAAATTTAACAGTTTAAAGTGTAAAAGTATAGTTTCAAGTAATTTAAAGTTGCTACAGTGTTTCTAGTGGGTTGCTAAGGTGTTGCTAGGGTGTTGCTAGGGTGTTGCTAGGGTGTTGCTAGGTGGTTGCTAGGAGGTTTTGGGTGGTTTCTAGGGTATTGCTAGGCGGTTGCTAGGGTGTTCTGGGTTGTTGCTATGGTGTTAAGCGGTTGGTAGGGTATTCTGTGTGGTTGCTATGGTGTTGCTAGGGGGTTGATAGGGTGTTCTGGGTGGTTGCTATGGTGTTACTAGGCAGTTGCATGTCATGGGCTGTCCTACACCATAGTAAGTCAACTTTGGGCTGCTCCTGCCCCCCAGGGGTGCAACTTTTACTCCACTGTGAGGTATTTTCTTACAGAGCCTGTCAGCCTTTTCAAATGTGGTATATTACAAGTTTCTGAGAAATCATCGCTATTTAGTACGGCCTACAGTTGCTAGGGTGCTGTAACTGGTTGCTATGGTGTGTGAATTTAGAGTTTATGAGTTTAAATGAGTAAGTGTCCAGAGTTTATTAATTTATGAGTTTAATAGTTTTATGAGAGTTTATAAGAGTATGAGTTTATGAATTTAGAGTTTATGAGCTAGAATTTATAAGTTTAAATGAGTCTAAGAGTTCGGGTTTAGAGTTTATTAATTTATTATGAGTTTAAGAGTTTAAGATTAGATAGATAAGTGTCATATATAGACAGGGGCGTAGAATTTAGTAGGGACGCTAGGGACGTGTCCCTACCAATATCCAGTGACCCTGATATATCCCTAGCAATAATTTCGATCAAAACTTAAAATATATTTATAAATTGATTAGGGCAGGGCAAAAAAAATAGATTTTTCGATTAATCGTTTTTTAAAATGTGGTCGATTCAAAATCGATTCTTTCTATTTTTTTCCATATTAAGGACTCGCGGTGGTGCTGCGTCTTCTCTCTCAGCACTAGGCAAGCGCTGAATATTCACTTGCACAATCGGGCCAGCATTGCACCGTAACTAAAGTTTATCATTGATTTTACCAGTTTAAACATTCAAGCAATGTTAAACCATGCTGTGCTCGCGCACTCTCAGAGATGTCTTTCACTGCGTGCACGTTAATAAAGCCTAAATCCGCCTCACAAACAGCTCGCCAGAAACAAAAGTTTTATCACTGGATTATATCGCTTTACTGTAACAGTTAAAAACACGCAAAATTATGTCAATACTGTCTTGGTTAGTAACCTCGTAAAGACAGTCGGTTATGTCTTAAATTAGCATCAAAATCCTGTCCATTCATTGTATGCATTTAGTGTATAAGCTAGTGTACCTAAAATAAAGAGTTTTACTGTGTATACAGGTTTGTGGCTCTTAATTTATTTGTATTAATTAACCACTAGTAAACTTATGTCCACTGTTCTTTTTTTTTTTTTTTATAAATATAGGATTTGTATTACATCTATATTCATTATAGTCAAAGAATATAATCAAGAATCAAATCAGGAATCAAGAATCGAAATTGAAAATCGAATCGAGAATCAAAATTGAATCAATCTGAGAGCTTTCGAATCGAAATTGAACATGTGAATCGATACCCAGCCCTAAAATTGATGTCCCCGTCCCCACCAATTTCAAAATCAAACCTACGCCTCTGTATATAGATGAGTGTATTAGTTTAAATGAGTCTCAATAGCTCATATAGTGTATAGAATGGCAGTTTGATTGAGTCTAGGGCTTCAAAGTATTTAGATTTGAATTTTTGACAGTTGGGCAGTTTGAAAATGTGAAGATTCCACAATGTTAAGTCAATGGGTTTTAGCAAAACCGTAAGTCCGATCAGTCTGAAAAACTCGAGTCAGAACAGTTTGAGTGTCCGTGCCGAGTTTGGAGTATGTGAAGTTAAAGCTCTAGGAGGAGTAGTAGTAAGAAATTTAAGTCTCAGAAAAAGAATACTAATAATATTAAGTTTAAATAGCATTTCAGTAAGTTGACTTTCACAAGCCAAATTAAATATATATTTATATGTATATTCACATACGTGCATATCAAATATTTTATTTATCTTAATTAAATGCTTATTGATTTCAGAATTATATTTCTATGTGAAAATGGCTAGAAAATCATTATAGTGTAATGCAGTGAAATATTTTTGGGTGTTTTGTAAAACTGGCAACTTGAGTTACGCAAGTATACATAAAAATCTTTTTGTTTATATTTACAGATGCCACGACCTAAGAAAAGGGCCCGCATAGCCAAGAGGCTTGCACAACGGTGTGCAAATACAGAGGTTCCGCCGCTTCCTCTTGAAAAAAAGGCAGAGGCTGCACCGCTTCCTCTTAAAACAAGTGAAGCAGAGGTTCGGCCGCTTCCTCTTAAAAAAATGGCAGAGGCTGCACCACTTCCTCTTAAAAAAGGGCAAACAGAGGCTGAACCGCTTCCTCTTAAAACAAGTCAGGCAGAGGCTGCACAGCTCCCTCTTAAAACAAGTCGAGCCGAGGTTTTGCGGCTTCCTCGTAAAAAAATGGCTGAAAACAAAAATTCTGACAAAAATTCTGACAAAAATTCTGACAAAAATTCTGACAAAAATTCTGACAAAAACTCTGCTTCAAGCTCTGCTTCAAACTCTGTCAAAAACCCAGTCAAAAACCCAGTCAAAAACCCAGTCAAAAACCCAGTCAAAAACCCAGTCAAAAACCCAGTCAAAAACCCAGTCAAAAACCCAGTCAAAAACCCAGTCAAAAACCCAGTCAAAAACCCAGTCAAAAACCCAGTCAAAAACCCAGTCAAAAACCCAGTCAAAAACCCAGTCAAAAACCCAGTCAAAAACCCAGTCAAAAACCCAGTCAAAAACCCAGTCAAAAACCCAGTCAAAAACCCAGTCAAAAACCCAGTCAAAAACCCAGTCAAAAACCCAGTCAAAAACCCAGTCAAAAACCCAGTCAAAAACCCAGTCAAAAACCCAGTCAAAAACCCAGTCAAAAACCCAGTCAAAAACCCAGTCAAAAACCCAGTCAAAAACCCAGTCAAAAACCCAGTCAAAAACCCAGTCAAAAACCCAGTCAAAAACCCAGTCAAAAACCCAGTCAAAAACCCAGTCAAAAACCCAGTCAAAAACCCAGTCAAAAACCCAGTCAAAAACCCAGTCAAAAACCCAGTCAAAAACCCAGTCAAAAACCCAGTCAAAAACCCAGTCAAAAACCCAGTCAAAAACCCAGTCAAAAACCCAGTCAAAAACCCAGTCAAAAACCCAGTCAAAAACCCAGTCAAAAACCCAGTCAAAAACCCAGTCAAAAACCCAGTCAAAAACCCAGTTACCTCCACAGAACTCTGAACAAAACTTTAAAATGTACAGAACTTTACATGAAAATGCTTTGAATACTTTACCTGCATGTGTTGAATTTCTACAGAAACCATTACTGAAAGGTTCCTTTCATCAAGGTGATGCCCGCTTTGGAAATTCACGTGGCAGACAGTGTGGTGCCATCAGTCTGATAGCAGTGTTGATGAGCAAGATGAAGAACGTGTTGACCTGGACAACACAAGATCTCAATGGTGTATTGGTTGCAGGAACACGCCTTTATGAATCTTTACGAAACCAGGGTAACATAAATGACCGGGAAGTCATGGGTAGGCATTACATTGCTGTCCATGAATTACCAAGGAGACATGTGCTGGGTAATACTGTCTTTTCCATAGAATATGCAGAGTCTCTCACTGGATTTGTTAATGTTGATGACTATGATGAATCCTTAAGGAATGTGGCCATGCCAGTTGATGTAGCTCTTCAGCGAGCTCTATTGAGTGCTGATGCTTTCCTTTTATGTATTTGTGCCAACACATGTGCAGTTATTAAGGAGGGCTCATGGTATGCCTTTGTTGATTCTCATGCTAACATGACAGAGACAAGTTGTGTTGCTTATCACAGCACCATAGAATCTTTGTATAACTACATTAATGAGATGGCACAGTCATTTGGGGTAATTGCGCCACGATTTGAGATAACTGGAGTTTTTGCTCATGCAGATGCTGAAGTTTCTCACTCGCTGGAGGCAGACCGCAGCAGTTTTCCATGCTCTTCTGGTAAAGCACTTTACAGTGAAGTTCTAAAACGCAAACCTAAGGTATGCAAATCTGTGACGACTGAGGTAAGGTCATCTGTCTTTCAATCACCTGAGGCTGAAGTTCAAAATACAAGCACTGATGTTCCCATGCCACAACCAGTGTGTAATGTGTTGCCGAGTAAAGGAAAAAGGGGGAGAAGTAAAAATCAGTATGAACTATCAGAGAAATGGGTTACGAAGTCCCACTCGCTGGAGGCAGACCGCAGCAGTTTTCCATGCTCTTCTGGTAAAGCACTTTACAGTGAAGTCTTAAAACGCAAACCTAAGGTATGCAAATCTGTGACGACTGAGGTAAGGTCACCTGACTTTCAATTACCTGAGGTTGAAGTTCAAAATACAAGCAATAATGTTCCCATGTCACAGCCGGTGTGTAATGTATTGCCGAGTAAAGGAAAAAGGGGGAGAAGAAAAAAGCAGGATGAGCAGGTCTCTGAGAAACGGGTTGAAAAATCTCATGTTGAAAATGTTGTAGATGACATAATTATTACTGATGTTTCAATTCCAGAAATATTTTTTTCTCTCTTGACTGTTAGAGATCAGCAAGCTTTATGTGAACTTTTGCTTTTGACAAATGATAACAGTGACTGTGATGTTGCAACAAACTTTGGTCCCATTGCAGGTCCGTGTCAGACAAAGAGTATCAAACCAGATGGTAACTGCTTTTTCAGATCACTGGCATATGCGATTTGTGGAAGTGAGGACAAACATTTGAAGATTCGCCGTGCAGTTGTCAAACACCTGAAAATGAACGCTTCAATATTTGAGAGGTATGTGAGAAGTGAGTATACTTCAGTAGAGGACTACTTGATACAATCTAGAGTCTATTATTCTGGGTCATGGGTCACTGAAATTGACATCTTTGCTTCTGCTGATCTATTTAAAACAACAATAATGACTTTTAATGATGGCCGGTGGAATGCACACAAACCTACTGGAGAGGTAATTGTAAACAATGCAATATATTTGAAAAACTGTAATGGTAATCATTATGAAGTTGTGACATGTGTCAAGCACAGAGATCAAGACATTTGCGCAGCAAAGTGTGGGAATGCTACTTCAAATGAGGTGAGAATGCTATGTCTGCGTAAAAGGAAGGTAAGTGACGCTGCAGAATGTGACCAAGAGACCAAGAGACAGAAACAATGGAAGTATGAGAAGTCCAAGTATGATAGTGACATTGATTTCAGACAGAATAAAATTGCCCATGCCAAAACAAAATACCGTGATGTTCAGTTTCAGAAACATGTTTGCCAGTATTCTCAGATGAAATATAAAAATAATGTCTCATTTCAGGCAACTGTACGTGAGTATTCCAAGAAGAAATATCTTCAAAACCTGGCCTTTAACACAAGAGTGCGTGAGTATTCCAAGAAGAAATATCTTCAAAACCTGGCCTTTAACACAAGAGTGCGTGAGTATTCCAAGAGGAAATATCTTCAAAACCTGGCCTTTAACACAAGAGTACGTGAGTATTCCAAGAAGAAATATCTTCAAAACCTGGACTTTAAAGTAAGAGTGCGTGAGTATTCTAAGACAAAATATCACAAAGATGTAAACTTTCATTTCAGTAAAATACAAAAAGGCTGTGAGGTATATGCAAAAAAAAGGGAAAAACAGAAAGACATTGGTGTTGCCATTGCTGGTTTTCGTCAAGAAGTGAGTAGAGGTCCAGAGTTTGTGTGCTGTGTTTGTCACCGTTTACTTTTCAGAAAGCAGGTTACTGAATGCAAACCAGAATGCTATGAAGACAAAGGAGACAAAATTGCTGCTTTGGCAAGAAGATGCATCACCCTGAGGTATGTGCATGTTTGTGATGAAAAATGTCATAATACTTCTGGTTTTTCTCCAAGGTGCAAATTGTGGATTTGTCCAACCTGTCATCGAAAAATTATCAGTGGAAAACTGCCTGAAGAGAGTGTTGCTAACAATATGCATTTGGTGGACATTCCAAATCAACTAAAGTGTCTTAACTCTTTGGAACAACATCTTGTGGCACGTAATATTCCTTTTTTGAAGTTACTCTGTCTTCCCCGTGGAAAACAAAATGGCTGCCATGGACCGGTGGTGTGTGTTCCTGTAAATACTGCAGATGTGTCAAATATTCTTCCACGAAATGAATGTGATGACAAGATGATAAGGATAAAACTGAAGCGCAAGTTAACCTACAAAGGGCATTATGAGTACAAGCATGTTCACACTGATCGTGTTAGAAATGCTCTGCGACGTTTGATCAGGTGCAATAAATGGTACAAGGATGTGGAGATTAATGAACAATGGATCAACTCTTTGAATGAACCAGAAGAGAATGTTGCTGAAGAAATGGAGGAACAAGCTGACGTTGAAAAGAGTGAAGAGGAAAATGATACTGAAGAACAGCCAGAGGAAGACTTGACTTACATCAAAGAGCAGAGTGGTCTTTTGTCAGACACATGTTTACAACCTGTCGATCTTGGTTCAGAAGTAATTGATCAGCACTTTCAAGATGTATTAAATGTGGCACCAGCTGAAGGTAACAGTCCTGTTAAATTACTGTCTGATAAAAGCAATGAAGCAAAATGTTTTCCTGTTCTCTTTCCAACTGGTGGTCCAACATTCCATGATGAGAGAGAAAGAAAGATCACACTGTCACGATACTTGAATGCAAGAATCCTCAACGCAGATGGACGTTTTGCACGGAGTACAGACTTTATTTTCTATGCACAATACATGTCGGAGTTGGATCAAATTGTATCTAATGTTTCTATTGCTTTGCGAAAAGGGTCGGACAAGAGGTTGTTGCAAGGAGTAACCTCGGATATGCTGACAAACCCAGAGTCGTTAGCTAAAATATTGAATTATGATGAAGGATACAAATTTTTGAGACCAGTCCGTGGAACGCCACCCTATTGGCAATCGACTCAAAAAGACCTTTTTGCTCTCATAAGACAACTAGGTATTCCAACTTTCTTTGCATCCTTTAGCTCTGCTGATCTCAGATGGCCTGAAATGATCAACACCATCCTGGAGCAAGAACAGAAAAATGTCAGTGTTGATGAGCTTGACTGGTCTGAGAAATGTGGACTAATTCGACGAAACCCAGTCACTGCTGCAAGGATGTTTGATTATAGATGGCATTGTTTTTTGAAGGATGTCATTATGTCACCTGCTCAACCTATTGGAAAGATCAAAGACTACTTCTATCGTGTAGAGTTTCAACAGCGTGGATCTCCTCATGTTCATTGTCTGTTTTGGGTTGAAAATGCTCCAAAGTTAAATGAAGACAACGAAGACAGTGATGCTTTGGTTGCTGCTTTCATAGATCATTATATCACTTGTGAGACACCAGGAGATGATGACGCAGAACTTTATGAGACTGTGAACAGTGTTCAAAAGCACAGCAGAAGACATTCCAAGACATGCCGGAAGAAAAACACAGTGTGTAGATTTAATTTTCCACGGCCTCCATCTAGCCGCACCTTTATAACAAGAGCTATACGAGATGACTTGAAAGGCAATGATGGAAATGAGACTGCAAGTGCAATTCTGAAGAAAATCAAAACTGCGTTAACAGAATCTGAAGTCAATTTTGATTCAACAGATGCCTTTTTCCAATCCATTGGAATTAATCAAGCTGTGTTTGAGAAGGCGTACAAGAAATGTTCTAAAAAGAAAAGTGTCGTCTTGAAACGAAGTCCAAAAGATGTTTGGGTAAATCAATATAACCCTCATTTATTGCGTGCATGGCAAGGCAACATGGATATCCAGTATGTCACAGATGCTTACTCTGTAGTGGTTTATATTATTAGTTACATCACAAAAGCAGAACAAGAAATGGGACTGTTGTTGCAACGTGCACAAAATGAAGCTATGAATGGAAATCTTGAAGCAAGATCATCATTAAAAATGTTGGGAAGTGTATATCTACACAACAGAGAAGTTTCAGCACAAGAGGCAGTGTATCGCCTAACAGGTATGCACTTGAAAGAATGCTCTCGCAAAGTCCAGTTTATTCCAATTGGAACTGATCCTGTGAAGATGAGTTTGCCTTTGCGTGTTCTCCAAAACAAAGATGACCATTGTGGTGAAGAGAATTTTTGGATGAATAGTTTGGTTGACCGATACAAGAGTAGACCAAAAACAGAACATTTTGAGATTCTGTGTCTGGGCAGTTTTTGTTCAGAATACAGGATATTGTCAACATCTGAGCTATCTTCACAAAACAAAGAAAATGTGATCAAGCTTGACAACAATTGTGGTTATATGATAAGAAGAACTCGAACTGAACCTGCAGTAATAAGGTATCCAAGATTTTCACCAACAAAAGATCCTGAGAAGTACTATCATTCACTGCTACAACTTTTTTTACCACATTATGAAGATTACCAGCTGAAGCCTGAGAAGTTCCACACTTATGAGGATTTCTACAACAATGGTGCTGTGAAATGCGGAAGTAATGTGACTGAAGTAAAATCTATTGTTGATTCTAATCGAGCACTGTTTGAAAAGGACAGCGATGAAATGGACCGAGCTCAACAGGTTTTGGAGCTGGGTGTTGATTTGGAAGATGCTTGGGCTGCATTGTGTCCTGAAACAGAGAAGGAGCGCCATGAATGTATCGAGCTAAAGAAGAATAACGTACTTCCTGAAGAAGATGATTCTGACACACTTATTCCAGATCTTGTAGCGAACCCTCGAACTGCATTCACAATTGAGAACAGTAATGCTGCAATGTCTCGAGATGAAGCATTGGGTTTACTAAGATCATTAAATGCTAAACAGTCTGCAATATTTTACAAAGTTCGCGACTGGTGTTTACAAAAACTGCATGGAGAAAATCCTGAACCGTTTCGCTTGTTTGTTACTGGTGGAGCAGGCACAGGAAAAAGCCATTTAATCAAAGCAATATGCTATGAATCTTCTAGACTCTTGTCTCAGCTGTCTGACAACCCTGATGAGCGGAGTGTGATTTTATGTGCATCAACTGGAGTAGCTGCATACAACATTGGCGCTGCTACCATACACCACACTTTTTCAATTGGTGCTAATGTCAAACTGCCATATCAACCACTAAGTGATGACAAAATCAATTCTCTGCGTTCCAAACTTGGATGTTTGCAGATTTTGATTATTGATGAAGTATCCATGGTTGACCATCACCTTTTGTCATATGTTCATGGGAGATTGAGACAAATCAAACAAACTGGTGATTACTCCCTCTTTGGAAAAGTAAGTCTTGTAGCTGTAGGAGATTTTTATCAGCTGCCGCCTGTCAAAGGAACTCCACTCTATGCTGATACAAAAGGAGTGAACCTTTGGGAAAACCACTTTGAAATTGCTGAATTAACTGAAGTTGTTCGGCAACAAGATGTAACTTTTGCTGAAACCTTAAATCGTCTGAGAGTTCGTAAAAAGAATGAACCTCTAAGCTCAGGTGACATCAACATGTTGAAGCAACGTGAAACAGGAGAAGAATGCGGTGATGTTCATATATTTCCTACAAATAAAGAGGTTGATGAATACAATATTCAGAGACTAAATGAGGTTTGTCCTGAGGCAATCAGTATTCGAGCTCAAGACTTTGAGAGAAATCCAAAAACTGGAAGGATTGAAAAAAAAGTTGGATTTCATTTAACCGTTTTCAACTCCTGTTTGGCTAAATGTGTTTCCTTGGGTGTTGGAGCAAGAGTTATGTTAAAGAAAAATATTAATGTTTCGGATGGACTTGTGAATGGAGCATTTGGTACAGTTGTCCATATTAGCAGAAGTCAAAAACAGGACGACGATGATTATGATGATGACTTTCCATCAGCCATTCATGTGGAATTTGATGATCCAAATGTGGGAAAAATTCAGAGATCAAACCAACGACATAGATTTTCCCAAAATTCTACAGTAATTGAAGTTCAAGAAGATCAAGTCACAACCAACGGTGGATTAAGGCGCCAATTTCCACTTAGACTGGCATGGGCATGCACTGTTCACAAAGTCCAAGGGCTCACAGTAGATAAAGCTGTCGTATCCCTTGACAAGATCTTTACTTCAGGACAAGCATATGTTGCATTGAGTCGTGTGAGAACTCTCAATGGACTAATTATTCAAAACTTCAAGGAGTCTGTAATATACTGTAATGATCAAATTGACTTGGCAATGAAAAATATACCAAAATTTCCATTAGAAAGTCACACTTTCTCAAAGACACCTGGTATATTTACAATTGCTCTTCAGAATGTGCAAAGTCTTCAAGCTCATGTTCAAGATATTCAAGCTCACAGACAACTTATGAATGCAGATTGTATTTGTTTAACTGAAACATGGCTAAAAGTTGAAGACCAAGTACAAATACCAGGATTTATTTTCAAGCATAATCCAAGAGCTAAGTGCTATGACAACAGCACTCCCCTTTTCAGTAATTTAAAACAACAGCGAGGAGGTGGGGTTGCTATTTACTGTTGTGAAAACATGTTTTTTAAAGTCATCATTCCAGAACCTTGCAATTTGGAATGTTTGTACTTCTCAGTTCCACATATCAGTTTGAATGCTGCTCTGCTGTACAGGCCTAATTCATATCAAATTGATGTGTTTCGACAAAATCTGTTACATGTCATTACTGAGCTGGAAAAACATCCAGGAAAAAAAGTAATTATGGGAGACTTCAATGAGGACATCTTAACATCATCTTCAATTGGGACACTAATGGAAGTCCATGGATACAGTCAACATGTGCAATGTCCTACAACTGAAAAGGGTACGTTAATAGACCATGTCTATATTAAAGATGCAGAAAATGTTACAATTGAAATTGTTTCAACTTACTATAGTTACCATGAAGCAATACTAGTTTCAGTAAGGTAATTGACATTTCTGACACATAATGAAGACTGTATAACTGCATTTTTCTTTTCTGTGCCCCTGCCCTGCTACAATTAATCTGAGATTGAGGTCCATGAAGGTCTGTTCAAGTTCACAAGTGAAAACGGTATGTTATTAGACCATTTATTTCAAATCATTTCAATAAGAAAATGATTCATTTGTTGTAATTTCTGCAAGTCCACTAGTATGCTATCAAGAAAGGTTTACTCATGTAAGGTAATATGTCTGATTTATGCAGCACGCTGAACTAAGAAATGTATATAATTACACTGTCTATTCTGTTTTTGTTCGTACAATGTGACGCACATCTTGAGATTCCAAGGTCTATACAGTCCTGACCATTCCATACCAAGTTCTATCCATTGTTCATCGGGCACAAACCAGCACCTCCCATAATTGCTCTTCTTTCTGGAGCTCCAAAGCTACATCCAGTCAAGGTTTTTGTAGTTTTTATGCATTAAATTTGTGTTTGATTTTTCTTCATTTTAGACAATGGTTTTGTTTTTTAGCTGAATTTGTTTTTGATCTAATTTCTGCCAGTCTAAGCCATCCAAACAACACTGGATGCTTCCAATCAGCATAGGAAGCATCCACAAAGACTGCCTGCATTCCTACAGTTGTCTTATAAAATGCAATTAAGTTAATAGGATTACAAGAAAACATCTAAAAATGATCTAGAAAACTTCACATAGAAAGGTAAGTTGACATGATTGTGTACATTTTAATAGTTTAAAAAGAAAATATTTAAGGCACTATCAACTAACAATATAATTTCAGATTTATAAACTGTATGTTATCTTACCTTTTTGTCAGTAATTTTTTTTTTTTTTGATTTCTGAAACACTGAAGTCATAATTCCTCCATATACCCATCACAAGATTTTCTGCTCCATGAACTCCTCTATAGAAGCACACAAAATAAAAATAATATCTTTTTTGATCAGCTATGTCTGCAAAGCTTGAATGAAAGCATGTCAATTTCAGTTAACAGATTATCTACATTAATGGCAATATGTTTTTGTGTAAACTGCTTCACTTTCATCAAGCAGTTTGTTATATGTATGTAATCTCTGCAGATTTCTGAATGAACTGAAGTTATAATTTCCTCCATATGTCATCACAAGATTATCTGCACCATGAACTTTTATAAAGAATCGCACAACTATTAAGATGGTAAGTTTTATTGAAGTAAATTTAAGTTGTGGACATTTATACAAGCACTGATAATCTACTAATGGTACACTTTCAGATTTGTGCAGCAACTCTAACTACTGTTGATATTTTGAAGTCCACATATCCCTATACAAATGTCCACAAAAGGTAAGCTATCAGACCATGTCTATATTAGTTGTGAAATGTTTAATGTGAAGACTTCACTTATAGCACTTGTTGAATGAATGTAATATTTTCAGATTTCTGAAATTCACCAAAGTCCTAACTTCCTCCATACATCCATCACAAGATTATCTGCACCATGAACTTTTATAAAGAATCACACAACTATTAAGACCGTAAGTTTTATTGAAGTAAATTAAGTTGTAGACATTTATACAAGCACTGATTAATCTACTAATGGTACACTTTCAGATTTGTGCAGCAACGCTAACTACTGTTGATATTTTGAAGTCCACATATCCCTATACAAATGCCCATAAAAGGTAAGCTAACAGGCCATGTCCATGTTAGTTATGAAATGTTTAATGTTAAGATTTCACTTATAGCACTTTGTTGAATGGATGTAATATTTTCAGATTTCTGAAATTCACAGAAGTCATAATTTCCTCCATATACCCATCACAAGATTCTCTGCTCCATGAACTTTTATAAAGAAGCGCACAACTGATAAAACAGTAAGTTTTATTGAAGTAAATTTAAGTTGTGGACATTTATACAAACACTGATTAATCTAATGGTACATTTTCAGATTTGTGCAGCAACTCTAACTACTGTTGATATTTTGAAGTCCACATATCCCTATACAAATGTCCACAAAAGGTAAGCTAACAGACCATGTCTGTGTTAGTTGTGAAATGTTTAATATGAAAACTTCACTTATAGCACTTTGTTGAATGAATGTAATATTTTTTAGATTTCTGAAATTCACCAAAGTCCTAACTTCCTCCATATATCCATCACAAGATTATCTACACCATGAACTTTTATAAAGAATCGCACAACTATTAAGACAGTAAGTTGTATTGAAGTAAATTTAAGTTGTGGACATTTATCCAATCACTGATTAATCTACTAATGGTACACTTTCAGATTTGTGCAGAAACTCTAACTACTGTTGATATTTTGAAGTCCACATATCCCTATACAAATGTCCACAAAAAGTAAGCTAACAGACCATGTCCATGTTCGTTATGAAATGTTTAATGTTAAGATTTCACTTATAGCACTTTGTTGAATGAATGTAATATTTTCAGATTACTAAAATTCACCCAAGTCATAATTTCCTCCATATACCCATCACAAGATCCTCTGCTCCATGAACTTTTATAAAGAAGCGCACAACTGATAAAACGGTAAGTTTTATTATTAAAGTAAATTTAAGTTGTGGACATTTATACAAGCACTGATTAATCTAATGGTACACTTTCAGATTTGTGCAGAAACTCGTACTATTGATATTTTGAAGTCCACATATCCCTAAACAAATGTCCACAAACAGAAAGGTAACAGACCATGGCTATGTTAGTTGTGAAATGTTTAATGTGAAGACTTTACTTATAGCACTTTGTTCAATGAATGTAATATTTTCAGATATCTGAAATGCACTGAAGTCAAAACTTCCTCACATATACCAATGAAAAGATTGTATGCGGCATTAACTTCTCTAAAGTGTACAACTGATTAAAAAAGGTAATGTATAATGCATATATTCAAACTAGTTACTGAAAACATATCATTTTTGTGATTTGGTTTATTTCTTTTCCCCTTCTAGAAATAGTGACAACAACATTCTTCTGAACTATCAATTCAAAAATTGTTCTGAAAAAACTTTAAACCTATGCAGGCAGTCAATAGTCAATTGTTATTTTACAAATGAATACATAATCTCCACAGTAACAATGTTGAATGGATGGCTTGTATTACATTTGGCCTATGTATAGTTACTTTAATATGTGCCAGCCAAAAGAGGATGGCCTGCCCCTGCTGAGTCTGGTTCCTCTCAAGGTTTCTTCCTTTGCCACTACGCTGATTATGCTCCAGCCCTTGGTCCATGATGTTCCACACTGCTATCTATGGGAGTTTTTCCTTGCCACTGTCGCCTTTTTGGCTTGCTCACTGGGGTATTAAGGCACAACATGTTAAATAAAGTAATAAAGATTTTTTTTTAAATAAATTGAGTGAAATATACTTTGTCTCTGTAGCCATATACTTCATTTTAATGTCTTTGATTTTCTACTTGTATTAAATGGATGTAGACACTATATTTAGTATATGAATTGATTCTACAAACTTGGTGTCTTTTACAAAAAGTGCATCATAAAACAGCTTAGTGGATCGAGCATTTACATAATTTTCATTTAATTTGTAGTAAGCTATAATTTTTTAACAGTTGTTTTTATTTTGAAATATTAAAATTAGTAAGTGACTGTCTTCAGGACAACAGTTAAAATGTTGTCAAACTTGAATGTTTTAACTTTAAGTATTGTCAGTGGGCAAAGTTAAACTATTATATATGCATTTGTTTGGTTTAAAGCTTTATGTAGTTAACTTGAAATTTATAAAAGCCAGCCTAATTAAAAAAAATTAAGTTTACTTAGACCATGACAAACATCCAATCACACCCTTCTACTCTCTAGCTCACTACACACAATACACAAAAGGAAATTGACATGACCATGAACACACAAAGGCAAAAAGTATTAATATGAAGAAAACCGCTTACATTGCAAGAATAGTAGATTGTCAAGGACCGCTATAGCAATCCTTTTTTCACAAAACTTTCTGGATACTCGAGAATGAAAGAATGAACAATGTTTCTAAAACCAAAAGAAAGATTAAAACAATGCTTACCTGGATAATAAAGGAACAATTTTATAAAGTTGGACAGGACTCTAACTCACAATCTCTGGGTGATGTGACTGTTACTCATCTAGTAGGACCATTGGGGAAAATTGTTTTTTTTTATATATGTTTTTTACCAAGATGCCAAAGTTCCATTAATCAAGTCAAGCATGAATCTTTATATGAATGTGCCACATCATATTCTAATGATTACTTTTCAGAAAGACACTATGTCTGTAACACAATGGTTTTGGCTCATGGCACATGGTTAAGCTTACGCTTAAGCTGCAGAGGATATGCTTCAGTGTAAGAATGAGCACACAATAATCACACAAAAGAATTACTTGGCATCTCAACCAGTTAACCATGCTAAGATCTCTTAATGCTAATGTAACTTATGGTTAGCTAATGTGGAGCCAGAAGAGAAAAAAGAGCAGAAATAGAATGTACATGAAGAAGAGATAGGTTCAGAAGTACTTATGGATGAAATGAAAACAAGCTGCTGCAGCGCAATAGATTAGAACAATGCAGGAATCAACACAATTTTTATACTCATCCAACACGGGGTTCAAACCCACAATCGGAACGGCTCGGGATTTGTAACACATGGTTTAGCCGATTGCGCCACTCAGAGGACGTGAATTTCAATGCAGCAGAGGAGAGGGTTCAGTGTGAGAATGAGTTCACAAAAAAGTTCCATAAGCATGCTAAGCTATCTTAATGCTAATTTAGCTTATTACGTGGTACATCCAATCCTGGCAAAATAGACATCCTCGGATTCGACATGATGCAAGGAATCGATAGACACCAATTTTATGATTTTGTGACAAACTGTTCACAAGTTACAGCCTCTGAACCAATGTTGGGTCGAACTTGTTAAATTTGCGACATCATAACTTTTTTTTTCCAGTATAGCAAAAAAATCGGGAACAGTACTTCTGTGCGGCTCGGTCCGAAGATCATTTGAGCAAATTTTGGACAAATTTGGACAAATTTTGAAGGAGGAGTAGCGAAAAAACGGTTTTACATTCGCTCCAATATGGCGGCCAGTCACATTGTTGGAAAATGATAAATGAGATATCGTCTGAATCGGCATAAACCAAGGATCATAATGACATAAAGAATTCAAAATTTGAACAATATTTTAAAATGTTATAAGCGTTTTTAAAAAAAAAAATGATATCTCTGGAACACTAGGTGGCGCTGTGATCAAACTTCTCAGGTACCTTCGGGCCATGCTAATGATGATCCATACCAAATTTGGTGAAGAAATTTCAAATAGTTTAAAAGATATTGCAAATTATGACAAAATTCAAAATGGCAGACACGTGGTACATCCCATCATGGCAATATTGATATCCACGGATTCGGCATGATGCAAGGAATCCATAGATACCACAATTATGATTTTCTGACAAACTTTTCAAAAGTTATTGGCCAAAATAGCAATTTGTCATATCTCATGACCCGTAGGTGGCGCTATTCCCAACTTTGGAATGGGACCTCAGAACATGCTTCTGATGAAGTGTACCAATTTTCGTTTCCATTGATCAAACTTTGGCCGAGATACAGCCTCTTAGCCAATTTTGGGTGGACCTCGTTAAGTTTGCAACATTATAACTTTTTTTTTCCAGTATAACAAAAAAATCGGGAACAGTACTTTTATGCGGCTCAGTCTGAAGATCATTTGAGTGCATTTTTGGAGAAAATTGGACAAAATTTGAAGGAGGAGTAGCGAAAAAACTGAATACTGTGCATTTCAAAATGGCCACTACTGTAATGGGCGGGGTCTTAATGTAAGGTATTGGTTGTGATCAGCATGATGAGTGGAATCAGGTGTACTAAGTTTCATGTCTCTAGATCAAAGGGTTCAAAAGTTATAACCATTTCAATGTTGAATTTTTGAACTGGTGGTGGCGCTATAGAGTTGGTCCTAGAGGGTCAAAAATTGGTCCAATTACTATTCATTAGCATCACTACAAGTGTGCCAAATTTCATCATTTTCCTATGTACGGTTCATAGGGCTGCCATAGACTCCCATTCACGGAATAATAATAATAATAATAAGAAAACCAACAGATACAATAGGTGCCTCTGCACCTTCGGTGCTTGGCCCCTAAATATAGCTGCAAGCAGCAACACGGGGCCAAGCCCTGCAAGGCACCGCAATTAGAACAATTACAGCAAAGTTCAAAGGCTTGGCACCGCAATTAGAACAAGTACAGCAAAGTTCAAAGGCTTGGCACCGCAATTAGAACAAGTACAGCAAAGTTGAAAGGCTTGGCACCTCAAGCAGAACAAGTACTGCAAACTGCAAGTACAGCAAGCTGCAAGTACAGCAAGCACAGCAAGTACAGCAAGCACAGCAAGTACAGCAAGTACAGCAAGTACAACAAGTACAGCAAGTACAGCAAGCACAGCAAGTACAGCAAGTACTGCAAGTACAGCAGCGCATCAAGCATTTAAGCACCAATAGCAGTGCAGAGCCGCAAGAACAAAAACAGCACAAATTGAATATACATGTAAATGAAGCACAGCTAGCATTTAAGCACCAACAGCAGAGCAGAACCGGAAGGAATTGAAATGACAACTTTATACACAATTTTAAAGTCGTCCCAAATGGGACTCGAACCCACGACCAGAATGGTTCGGGAATCGAGATGCATGGTTTAGCTGATTGCGCCACTCAGAGGACGTGAATTTCAAAACAGCAGAGGAGAGGGTTCAGTGTGAGAATGAGTGACATGTTAACCAGATTAGCATGCTAAGCTAGCTTAATGCTAATTTAGCTTATGATGTGGTACATCCAATCCTGGCAAAATAGATATCATCGGATTCGACATGATGCAAGGAATCGATAGACACCAATTTTATGATTTTGTGACAAACTGTTCACAAGTTACAGCCTCTTAGCCAATTTTGGGTTGACCTTGTTAAATTTGTGACATCATAACTTTTTTATTACAGTATAGCAAAAAAATCGGGAACAGTACTTTTATGCGGCTCGGTCCGAAGATCATTTGAGCAAATTTTGGACAATTTTGGACAAATTTTGAAGGAGGAGTAGCGAAAAAACTGTTTTACATTCGCTCCAATATGGCGGCCAGTCACATTGTTGGAAAATGACAAATGAGATATCGTCTAAATCGGCATAAACCAAGGAACATAATGTCATAAAGAACTCAAAATTTGAACAATAGTTTCAAATGTTATAAGCGTTTTTTCAAAAAACAATGATATATCTGGAACACTAGGTGGCGCTGTGATCAAACTTCTCATGTCGCTTTAGGACATGGTGTCGGTCATCCCTACCAAATTGTGTGCTGATATGTCAAATAGTTTAAAAGATATTGCAATTTATGACAAAATTCAAAATGGCGGACACGTGGTACATCCCATCATGGCAAAATCGATATCCACGGATTCGGCATGATGCAAGGAATCCATAGATACCACAATTATGATTTTCTGACAAACTGTTCAAAAGTTATTGGCCAAAATAGCAATTTGTCATATCTCATGACCCGTAGGTGGCGCTGTTCCCAACTCTGGCATGGGACCTCAGAACATACTTCCGATGAAGTGTACCAATTTTCGTTTCGATTGATCAAACTTTGGCCGAGATACAGCCTCTTAACCAATTTTGGGTGGACCTCGTTAAGTTTGCGACATTATAACTTTTTTTTTCCAGTATAACAAAAAAATCGGGAACAGTACTTTTATGCGGCTCAGTCTGAAGATCATTTGAGTGCATGTTTGGAGAAAATTGGAGAAAATTTGAAGGAGGAGTAGCGAAATAACTGAATACTGTACATTTCAAAATGGCCACTACTGTTATGGGCGGGGTCTTAATGTAAGGTATTGGTTGTGATCAGCATGATGAGTGGAATCAGGTGTACTAAGTTTCATGTCTCTAGATCAAAGGGTTCAAAAGTTATAACCATTTCAATGTTGAATTTTTGAACTGATGGTGGCGCTATAGAGTTGGTCCTAGAGGGTCAAAAATTGGTCCAATTACTATTCATTAGCATCACTACAAGTGTGCCAAATTTCATCATTTTCCTATGTACGGTTCATAGGGCTGCCATAGACTTCCATTTGCGGAAGAAGAAGAAGAAGAATAATAATAATAATAATAATAAGAAAACCAACAGATACAATAGGTGCCTCTGCACCTTCGGTGCTTGGCCCCTAATAATAAGAAAACTAACAGATACAATAGGTGCCTCTGCACCTTCGGTGCTTGGCCCCTAATAATAAGAAAACCAACAGATACAATAGGTGCCTCTGCACCTTCGGTGC